TCTCTCTCTCTCTCTCTCTCTCTCTCTCTCTCTCTCTCTCTCTCTCTCTCTCTCTTTTAATAAGCCAAGTGAATGCTTTGTGGTCAGCTGATTAGGGGCACCAATAGCTAGAGCAATTGCCATGGTTTGACATACCATAGGGAGGGCTTTGACTCTGGTTACAGTTTCATGGTGAGGAGTGCACCCTTGTTAAGCTGCCCTTGGCTGGAAAAGTTTCCATACAATTTCTTTACAATCTATTTTTCCTGAACCACAACAGGCTTCATTCTCACTCTGTACCCATAGGGGCTCTGACAAGGTACCCCCCTTTATGATAAAAAGGAAGAATTTACAGGCCTATCTTGGGACTTCGGGTGGCTTGCACTTTTCACATGGCCCCTACCATAGTAGGAAATGCTGGAAGGAGGAGCAGATCTAGCCACAGCAGCTGAGGTTGTGTAATGGGATGAGCAGCTATTCAGAGGCACTGCCAGTCCCTTTCTGTCCCTTCCCTTTTTGGGTCAAAGAAAAAACTTTGCAGAGGGTGCAGGGAGTTGTGGAGAGGTTTCTATCCTACTGGAGTTATACAGCCATTCTATGAAGTAAGTCCAAAGAAGTCCCCTTCCCTGCTTGTGGATGCTACAGTCTCTTTAGTTCCTTATTCCAAAATAGCTTCTTGGGTTCCTCAAGAGAGCTGCTTACTAGAATTTGGAAGGAGGGTAACAGACACAATCTGATCTTCCCCTCCCCATTACCCACCACAGATCCTGGCTCTTGGGTCATTTCCATGACAATGGTGTCATGTATTCAATGTAGAACATCATATTTTCATCATCTTTTGTATTTGTCAAGTATAGTAATAATTCCTAAATAGAAATCATCACACATGAATCTATATTATTTTTTAAAATTAACTGTTATCTCCATTTCTATCTAAAATAATAGTTATCTAGCTAGGATTTATCAGTTGAGATTTTACTATGTACTGAACCCTGGGTTATTTACTTTACACGACTTAATTTTTAAAATTTAAATACCATGAAAATCCTAAAGGAAGATTACATATTATTATATGTAATCATATTACAAATGATTACATATGTATCATATTACAAATGAGGAAATTAAGATTTATAAAGAAGAAAGAAAGAAAACAATAAGGTCACACGAAGAAATATGTATGTGATTTGGAGCAGAATCCAATTCAGATAGAACCCTGACACTCCATTTTGTCTTCCTTAAGGGTAGACCTATAGTAGGTTAAAAGTTAACTTTTTCCAGCATGAGAAAAGAGACTAAGTGAGGTAGAGCTGAGGTTTATAATATCAAATTTTGGATATGGACAACATAAAATGGTTCTTGCTAACTTCAAATACTGAAATGAAAGAGTTGCCTAATGTATAATAAATTTATTTGGGAACATAAATTTTATGAATTTTTTTTATCCTGTTAAGGGCAGTAGGGATATGAAACTCCAATAGGTTGGGTCAGCAAAAATATAAATAGGTTCAAGGAATGCTTGCATGAATTTGTTGATCAGATAATCAGGCACTTCCTTGTGTTAGACTGAATATGAAATTAGCTTTGTTGTTGTTTTTGTTGTTTAAAAGCAATTAGTTGTTATAAATTTCATATGGCCCAACTTAAGTAAAAGCTATATGTAGCAGCATTGTTTTTTATAAATATTAAGACTCTACACAAAGTTAACCATGATTCTATTCCTGAGCCTGTATATTGGACACAAGGACCCCATGCAAATATTTTTAGTTTGGGGTTTGTTGAAAATTTTAGTAAAGTGTCTCTCTTTTCTTGTCTTTTGTGTTGGTCAAAGGAAAGGAGACTGAATATTGAATTTTTAAGACTTATGTCTCTTTGATCATCATAAAATTGAAAACCTATGTTTTGGTATTCATTCTTCTCTAATCATTTGATAACACTTGGAGCAAAACATCCAACCTGTTAGAATTTCAGTTTAATTACTGTTAAACAAGGAGATGTGGCCCTTTCAGTTCTAAAATTTTTACAGAGTTAAAAATATATAACTGGCTTTTGCTGCCCAAATTGCCAAGATTTGGTCCTATATCACCTCCCCTCAATAGGACTTTGATAACCCAAGAATCAACTCACAATTAGATAGGTGTGAATCAATTAAGACAGGGTTCTTTACTTGGGATCTCTGTCTAGGGTTAATTCGTCAGATTTGGCAAATAAAAAATACAAGACATCCAGTTAAATTTAAATTTCAGATGAACCACAAATCATATTTGTCCAATATATGTCCAACATACTTAAACTAGAAGTCAATTTGTGATTTATCTTAAATTCAAATATAGCTGGGTGACCTGTATTTTATTGGAACTCTACTCTGGGTTGGGATTCAGGTCGATCCTTGAGCCCTGTGGGATATTCTGAAACATACTGTGTCCTTATACGTTCTGCAGAGTCTCTCAGAGCTACTTTCATGAGGATCATGAAAGGTCCAAAATCCAAAATAGAATCAGAACCACAAGACTGAGAATAATGTTGCCAAGAAATGGTAACACAATGATACCCTCTCCTGTTCAGTGGGTAAATCTATGTGAAATTATTGCCTATGTGAAATCTATGTGAACATCAAGTTCTTTTGTCCACAAACCCATCCCTGATGAAAGCTTCTAGAACTGATTCTAGAAAAGAGTTGTCACTTCATATTTAAGAATGTGCTTCTTCCTGCAGCCTGCCACCCTTGACTTGAGACTCTACACAGGGCAAGCTGAAAGCCATGTATGCTAAAGTGTCACTGTCACTCTCCTGCCAGACAGAGCTGGGATCTCAGAATGTCTTCTTGCCAAGGGTGCGAAATCAGCTGTGCCTGCTCCCTGTCCCTGCCACATTCCAATGGCTGCATCTGTCGAGGCTCATCAGTACTACCTCCCGGAATAGAAACAGGCCTGGCTACTGCTGCTTGCCATTTTAAGTCCAACTGAAAGGGGGTTTTCCACTTCACCACTCCATTCCCAACATGATTTTTTATTTGAAATGTATATCAGTATAGCTATATGTGCACATTTAAAACAAAACCTGTTTATTAGTCGAATAGCAAATTTATGATAATTGCAGAGGGATTTCTGTTTTGTCAATAGGTTGTTTTTCTGAGAATTCAATGAGTTGTTTGATTTTTGTGTGACCAGTTTAATGAAAACTGATAACATTATATCTAAACCTGACAGCTCTCCAATGTTTAAATGGTTCTTGATAATGAAAAGATGGAATTCTAAACTTTGTGAACAAATCCTGAGAATTTTTTTTCTCTCTCCTCTATAAAATAGTGGAAGGAAAGCACAACATAAACTTTAGATAAGGGCAAAGGGGAGGGAGGAAAAGGAAGCGGGCACGGAGGTAGGAAAGACAGTGGAATGAGATGGCCATCATTACCCTAAGTACATGTATGAAGATAAGAAAAAAAAAAAGAAAAGAAAAAAGCACAACATAAGTTTTAGAGAATTAAAATTACACTTAGAAACTACAAGTCATTTTACTTTTATAAGGGCCTTACTCCTATGCATTTCTGTTGCTGTGCCAGTCTCCTAATTTATCACATTTCTCAAGTTCCAAGAAAAGATTTTCTACTGCCCAACTTCAGATCAGGGACATGAGAAGTCTGACTCAGATGGAGACTCCCTTCAGGAAAACAGCTCTATAACCACAAACGCTCAGCCACCCCTCTCCCGTCCACACAGCTGTACACACCCCAGGATCCAGAAGACAGGAGTTGGCGAGTGCAGTCCCAGCTCCTCTCCCTCCTATGTGAAGTGGCAGCTCAACTTGCAATGAAGAAGTTTCTGCTGTAGACTCCTCTTGGGAAGTGATCTGTGAAGAGAGAGAGAGAGAGAAAGAAAATCCGGTGGGGAGTCACCAGCAGCCACCTGACAGGCTCTAGTGGCAGCAATTTTTAGAATAACCCCTGGATGAAGCAGGCTGAGCCTGCGCTCTGGCCTGGAGCAGCAGCTTGAGCCCTCCTCTCCCTCTTTGGCTTTCAATTGCAGGCCATCTGGGGGCAGAGGGCGGGGTTCTGGTTGGTAGAGAAGGGTTGGATTTCTTGACCTGGCCATTTTTTTTTTCCATTTAAGTCAAGAGCTCAATCAACCTGGCTGTTAGGAAAGAAAATAACTTGGTGGGTGTTTAGTTGTTGGAAGCAGGGATTTCAGTAGAGTAACTGGAAGGAAACGTTGTGGCGAAAAATTAGTTTCTAGAAAGGTAAATAGACTGTGTCACCTCAAGTCCTTTGAGAAGATTGTGGCTATAAATAGATTGTTCTTTAGAAGAGAGCATGTTTACTGAGATATGGTACTTTCTACTGCACTTCAATACATCACTAGTATTTCACAATTTAATAAATGAGGTTTATAGCAGTGCTGATTATCCAGTGATCTGCATAAGATCTGAGACAAACACACACCCTACCACACATACATATTGGGGAGTGTCTACTTTGGAAACACTTCATGTGAGAAAATAACCTCCAATGGTTATAATTGACAACAAGCTTTTAATAGGCACCAAGAGTGTGAAATGGCTCCTATAAATGTTAACACAATAATCAGCTGTAATAATGGAAAAAAGATAATGGAAAATAAATATTCTAATTATTCTTCATTAGATAATCTGTTAAGCATTGTTTTGCCACATTGGCACATAGATATTATTCTGCATCCTGAAAAAGATAGGGATGAATAAATCTTCAGAGGCTGTGCATATAGGGAACCATCAAAGACTAAAAGAAGACTTAGGATAGGTGAGATGAGACCCTTGAGAGCAAGTGTTGTGGGAGCTGTTATACAGCAAGGGGGTTCAGTTAAAATTTTATAACCTATGAAGTCAATAACTTCTACCCAAAAGGGGTAGAAAACTTTAGGAAAACAAATTTAAAATAGGGAAGAACTGGGTTATCAAGTCCTTTGAGTATAGACATAGGAGTGGGATAACTGGGTCAAATGGAAGTTTCACTCCAAATTTTCTGAGGAGTCGCTGTACTGCTTTCCATAGTGGTTGCACAAATTTGCAGTCCCACCAATAATGTATGAGAGTACCTTTCTCTCCACATCCTCACCAACATTTATTGTCACTTGTGTTCTTTATAATTGCCATTCTGACTGGAGTGAGATGGAATCTCAGTGTAGTTTTAATTTGCATTTCTCTGATTGCTAAGGATGTTGAGCATTTTTTAAATATATTTTTAAATCATTTGTATTTCTTCTTCTCTGAAGTGTTCAGTTCCTTTGTGCATTTATTGATTGGATTATTTATTTTTCTGGTGTTAAATTTCTTGAAGTTTTTTTAATATATCCTGGAAATTAATACCTTATCTGAGGTATTGATGCTAACGATTTTCTTCCATTTTGTAGAATCTCTGTTCATGTTCTTAATTGTCTCATTTGCTGTGAAGCTTTTCAGTTTGATGCCATCCCATTTATTGATCCTTGATTTTGCTTTTTTGTGCTTTAGGAGTCTTATTGAGGAAGTCAATTTTGAGGCCTACCTTTTCTTCTAGTAAGTGCAGGGTCTCTGGTCTAATACCTAAGTCCTTTATCCACTCAGAATTGAGTTTGTACAGGGTGAATATAGGGGTTCAATTTCATTCTATTACAATGGATTTCCAGCTAGTCATCTCTTATAGAAACTTTTAAGGACTTTCTAGTAAAACTAAGTTTTTAAAAGGTCTTATAGCTGAAAGAATAGTGAACTATAAAACTCAGGGTTCCCAAAGTATACCTGTCTGCTGTAGATTATAATTCTGATTACTTGGTTGGTTCTCAAAATCTCTCACCAATAGTAAATCATTTAGAAAGCTACTTCTCAAACCAACATACACAGAAATTACCTGAGGACCTTTTAAAATATTGATGCTAATAAGGTAGGTTTGGGGTAGGATCCGAGATTCTGCCTTTGTAACAAGCTCACAGATAATACTGATATTTCTGACTCAAGAGATACACTTTGGATAATAAGCATTTGGAATGCTTAGCTACTCAACTTCTGAAGGAAAAGATTTCTTAAAAAACAAGAGAGGGGCTGGGGATGTGGCTCAAGCGGTGGCGCGCTCGCCTGGCATGTGTGCGGCCCGGGTTCGATCCTCAGCACCACATACCAACAAAGATGTTGTGTCTGCCGAGAACTAAAAAGAATAAATATTAAAAAAAAAAATTCTCTCTCTAAAAAAAAAAAAAAAAAAAAACAAGAGAAAGCCAGGTGTAATGGCACTTGCCTATAATCCCACTCCTTAGAAGGCTGAGGTGGGAGGGTCAAGTGAGCCCAGGAATTTGAGATTCTGAGACTAGTTTGGGCAACATGGGGAGACCTCATCTCAAAAAAAGAAAAAGGTGGGGACAATAGAGTCGTTTCACCAAAACACACAAGTACAATTTTCCAATACCAAATTTACAAGCCTACCTTGAGAAAGTCTCCAAGCTTTCCTTCTTTGTCTGCTTAAAATGGAGCAGTCCCTTTCCTTTCCTGGCCTTGGCCTCTCCTAGTGCTTTGGACTGCAGACAAATCTCCAGTTCAGGAACCTGTCTGTCAGTGCTCCCTCTTCTTTTGAGCCCAACCCCTTCACATCTACCAGCCAATTGTCACCATCACTGAATGGTATTCATACCACATTTACTCTCCTGCCTTCAAGTCTTCATACTTTCTGTTCTAATCGACTGTCTTTCTCATTTTCATGTAGAGTCTTCCTACCTCATCATTTGCATCTTCATTTAAATATCATTTACTCAAGAAATCCTTGCTGGAACGCTTCCATGTCACAGTTTAATAACTACTCTCTAGACTGTAAGTGTCATAAATAATAAAATATAGCATATATTAGAGTTTACTCTGTACCAGGGCTTTGTGGTTGAAAGCATCTAAAATTATCCCAAATGATTTCCATGTGTCAGGATTTATGGCCTTATATAATCCTCTGGTTTTGAGTAACTTGCTTCTAACCAATAGAAACCCAAAACATTAAGGAGATTTCTGTAGTTTGCTCACAAAAAGTTCTGTCTGCCATCTTACTAGCAGAATCTCTTCCTTGATGACTGATGAAGCCCAGGGCCATGCTGTAAATGCCCAGGCAAGGAAAAGCAAGCTGGGAACTGAAGCCCTTAGTTCAACATCCCAAGAGGCATGAGTCCTGCCAACCATCACTGAGTAAACTTGAAGGTGGGTCCTTCCCCAATTTAAACTTTACTACAAGAAGCCCTCTCTCTGTAACATCTTAATTGCAGTCTTGTAAGAGACATTAAAACAGAGGACCTAGTTAAGTTCTACCTGAATCCCAAAGAATCAATAATAAATAAATAAATAAATTTTATTAGCATTTAAATTTTAAGCTGCTGTTATGTAGCAATAGATAAATAAAATAGTACCCTTCTATGCATTTTTCATCTGTAAACTAATTTAATCCTCATAGCATCTTTGAATCCCTATTTTATACATAAGAAAACTGAAGTAATTCAACTTTCCCACGTCACAAGACTGGTAAGGAATGGAACCAATATTTGGACCTGCCATCAGGCTCCAAAGTCTGTGCTGTTAACTCCTTCACCTTGCATGAATGCAGTGGCTGTATCTGATTTGTTCATACTTGTAGCTGCATTCTCAGGTACAATTTTTGGCACATAGTAGATTCTTTATAATTGATTGATTAATTAATTCAGAAAATTGCTAAGTGAATGATGAATAGATTTGTTGTTGCTGTTCATGCAATGGAAATTTATGAGTGTTTTTTTGGAAGTATAACTGTAACTGCTCTCCAAGGACTTTTTGTTTTGTTTTGTGATATAGACTCTTTAGATGTAGAATGGAATATATACTAATTGACTGAAAATTACAGGTGCATTTTATTTTAGTGTGTCAAATAGCATAATATAAACATTATGGAAGTCATGTATGATTTTAAATTACATAGAGGTTACATTAAAAGAAGTAAAAATGAATCATTAACATTTATTTTAATGAAATGTTTTATTAAACCCAATACATTTATATTATTATTTCAAATGTAATCAACATAAAAATTAATGATTTTACACTCAGAGGAAGTACTAAGTCTTTAAAATCTGGTCTGTTATGCTTTCAGCATAATTCAAGTGTGAAAGTTGGATTTACCCTATTTTAAAAGTGCCCAATAGGCACTTGAACTTCTTGACAGAACAAGAACTTGTCATGACAAGAACTGTCTTGACACATGAAGACAGTGCAGGTGTCAAGCAAACCCAGAAGAAAGGTTCAGCCTTTGGAAGTCGGCAGAGCTTCCATTCCCTTCCATTCCTCTTCTCTGATCTCAGGATACACTAGAAACCATTCAAAATAAAAACTGAACTTCAGGGACAGAGATTATCTTAAAGTTTCCCTTTAAATTGCAGATAGAAAATAAATAACTTCTCACTTTGAACAGTGGCCTGAGAAAGGGGTTTGAGCATGTGCGATTGTGTTTCTAAAATTTGTGTTACCTAAACATGCCATTTCATTTCAGGCAAAAAGAAGGAAAAGTTAGGAGAATGGAACTGCCAGTTTTTATATTCTTGGAAGTTGACATAGAAGATGGCCCTATTAGCAAAGACCATGTCCAATCTTTGATTGTACAAAGTCATCAAAAAGTCAGCAAGGCCAGGAGCCAAACAGGCAGTGGGCAAGTGAAGGAGATAAGTTTTTAATTCCAGCTAACCCTACTGGAACCCCTTTCTTATGACTGTGGATTTTTCCACTGTATGAGGTTGAATGGGAAGTAGAGTTTGTCTTTTACCATGGAAGCCAAAAAACCCAGATGCTTAATTTGGCAGGGTTTTTGCAGCTTTGACATGGATAGTCACAAGATATGGGCTAAGCTGATTAGATATCTGCACTCCAGAGTAGAAATTGGGGTCTAATGATACAAAGAAGTATGCAGAGAGGAAGCTGTTCTG